CTATCTTTTTCTTTTAAACCTTTTTTACTCCAGTATAAACTTGACAGATGTCTACCTTTTTTACTCTAGTGCAAGCTGGATCTTAATTTTTGACGTTAGCGTAAACTAGAGTGTTGTCTACGTTTTTTACTCTTTGTCTAAATTGTTAACACTACTATAAACTGAATCGATGTTCATATTTTTAGCAAATGCAAACTCCTTCTCAGGTCAGTGATCACAACATGTTGAAAGTATCGAAAAATTCTTAGTAGATTTTATGAAATTGTCCTTTTATGATGAATTTAAAAAAAATCTGATACTCAAAGGAGAGAGAGAAGGAAAGACGGCCAGATGAAAGCAGCGGGTAACATATTTGATGGGCTTGAGCAAATGGATGGTGGAAGAGGGTTTGGGAAAAAAGAGACAAAACTTATTAAGAGCTGCAAGGGACAGGAAGATGTGGAGCGCCATGATCGCCTACGTCCTGAAGGAACACGGGACTTAAAGGAATAAAAGACGAATTAATTTAAGTAAAAGTTGGTGTCAAGGCTATAGGATCCACTCTGTCCTGCTATTCAACCGATAGCTTGGAAGGAGAGACGAATTGGAGTCATGCCTTTCCCAAGAAGATTTGCGTGCAAGTGAATGTAATAAACACAAACTGGGATTCGTTTTCTGCCCTCCGATTTCTCTGTTTAAAATTACAGTAAAGAGAAAACTAAACTAGAAACAAACAGCCAGTATGCGGAGAGACAACGGGTCTTGTGAAACGGAAAAAAAAAAGAAAAAAAAAAGAGAAGAACGACAACGATGTGTTTTCTCAAAGGATTTATTTAACCTGTAAACAACGGGTAAATTTTGCAAGAGAAGCCATGCAAGACAAACCAGTAAAAAAAAAAAAAAAAGAGGAAATTCACTTTTGAAGGGTACCTTTTATGTTTATTTTTGCTTTAATAATATGCAAAAACTAAAAAAAAAAATGATATTTTAATTCTTTTGTGTATTCTTTGTATCAAGCTGTCACCATTTTCGTATCTTATTCTCTTCAGGAAATATGCATGCAGACTTAGCACTGCCATCGGCTTGTTCCTCCAAGTTTAGTTGCAGACAATTAGTCTCTGAAATGGCGGAATCCTACATTTATAGTCGCCCATTACTCATTTAAACTCGAATCTTGAACGAATGATAATCATAACTTTCCCACCGCCGTAATGTAGCTTCCCTATAACTGTTCTATAAATACTTTCAGGATAATTGCTCTGATGAACTCTCTCTATGGTACCTAGACTTCCATAAATTTAAGCACAGTACTAGTTTGACAGCAAAATCTCATCATTTTACAGAGAAAATGGTTAGATGTAAACGTAGGTTCAATGCTAACACTTTCTTTGCTCGCATGTCTAACTGACTTCCGGCTTTTTGCTTCCCAGTCAAGTTTAATTATCAAAGATTTAAATGTAATTTTTATATTCTGTCTTCTTAATTTCTGTTCTTTTATTGTTCTCGTTCCTTAATAAAGTTTATTTTTCTTATATTTTTTCACATTCAGTAACCCGCTGCGTGTTAGTGGCTTTGTTGCCTTGCTTGGTATGAAATAATTCAAAGAAATATCGTTGGAAAAAAAGCTTTAGTAGTACTTAGTAGACTGGACACTTATTAAAAATAGGGAAATTTTTGGAGAAAATATTTTTTATAGATTAGAAGTCTTTAGGTCTTTCGCATAACGCGACACTAATCAGAATAGAAACATGGATTCGTTATGGACTTAGAATGGGTTCCTGTTATTGATATCGACACGACATCAAATGGATTACTGAATACTGTATTAACTCGTGCTTGACTTATACGGGAAAGATATTAGAATAACTCAGAACTTTATTGGGAAAAATCAGTCTGCATACGAATAGGAAATTAATTCAGTAAATACACAAAAATTAAAATGGGCGTAAGACAAGGATGTATCTTCTCACCAGATTTCTTCAACCTTTGTAAAAGGCGATTCTTAGAAAAATATGAGTATTACAAGGTTTTCTTATTGGCAGAAACAACCTTAACAAACGTAAGATAGGCAGACGACTATGCTAATAACAGACACAGAAAGAAAACCACGGGAATTTCTACAGAAGGTATTAAATGATTTGAGAATAAAAGAATAACCATCAATTGTAAGAAAACAAAATATATGGTTGTCAGCAAGAGAAACAGTCCAAGATGCGAACTACGAATCATAGATACCAGAATGAAGCACGTACAAAATTTAAATGTCTGGGAAATACTTTAAGAGATAATACGAATACAGAGGCGCATTAGGATAGTGAAAGATGCCTTCCAAAAGCTAGGTAAAATATTAAGAAACAGGAAAATATCATTAGAAACAAAGAAAAGACTGCTAAACTGTTATGTAATATAGGACTTCCTATATGGCAGTGAATACTGGACAATCTCATCACAGATGAAGAAAAGGAAACAGAAATAGGGTTCCAAAGAAGGATGATGATAATACGATGCACTGAACAGGTGAGTAACGAGAAAGTTTTAAAGAAAATGGAAGCAAAACGTACACTTATACTTATAACAAGAAAGTGCCAGTTGAAATCACTAGGACACATAACGAGAAAACAGAGCCTGGAGAATCTAACACTCACAGAGCATACTGAAGGCAAGATAGACGGTGGGAATCAGCAAATAGAATACTTAACGAGTATGTGTAAATCGATGGCAGAACAGAGACTGGGTGGGATGGTGAAAAGACAAACTTCACAAAGAGCTACAGAGTTTAGGAAGTTGTAGAGAGCCATGATCTTGTCCTGAAAAGATACGGCATCCTAGCAAAAGAAGGATAAAAACGATTTATGTTTTGCTGAAATGGACTTTACAAACTCGTTAGGTATTTTAACTCAGCACACCAATTTCATTCCCACCCTCGATAATAGTTAAATTACCTACGTATACTTTTTGCTTTAAAATTTGTGAATTGGCATAAAAAAAACAAGGACATAATTGGGAAAATGAAAGCCTCTCGTAGTAAAATTAAAATGTTGATTTTGCAGTTGAACTGCTGAATAATAAATTCAGAGGAACTGCACTGAATAATATGAAATATGCAATAGCAACGATATTTTATCAGTTCCGTGCATTAAAGGAAAACGAAATAAAAATTTTGTTTAGATAAGAAATTCGGGATATGAAAGCATGACGATGATAAAGTAGAAGTAAAATGAGGGTGGGGAGCTAAAACGAATGAAAAAATAGCGCGTGAACGAAAGAAACAGAGGTAGAGAGAGAGGTAGAGAGAGAGAGAGAGAGAGAGAGAGAGAGAGAGAGAGAGTTAATTAAAAAATGTAACAATGGATAAGAATCATTAATAGAAGAGAGAGAAGGAAATTGAATGTACAAAAATATCTAAGCAAACGAGAAATGCGGCCAGAGAATTAAAAGAAAGAAATAATAAATTAATGGAATAAAGAATGAAAGAAATAATGAAAGGAAGAAATAAAGGATGAAAGAAAGCATGAAACGAAGGGATAAATAAATAAAGAATAAAAGACAAAAACTGGAACGAAAGTGAAAAAAAAAAGAAGAGCAAATGGAAGAAATATTGAAAGGATGAAATAGTGTTAAAGAAAGCAATAAAGACTAAAACGAATAAAAGAAAATAAAAGAAAAATTGAAAGAAAGAATGGGTTAGAATAAGAATGAAATAAAAATGAAATATAGGAATAAGGAAAGAATGAACGAAAGAATGAAGCAATTAGTGAAAGAAAGAAAGAAAGAAAGTTAATTAACGGAAGTGAATCTGAAAAATGAAAAATAAAAAACTAACCTTAAGGAAAGAAAGTAATACGCGCGGATGTAGGCATGAGATTTAATTAATGAATAAAAGGAGAATAACGTGAACAAAAATGAAGATAGTTAGGGAGAAAAATGAACGACAAAGAATAAACACAATTAACACTTAAAGTCAAAGAAGAAATGGAAGTAAAAGAAAAAATGAAACATTAAGAACAAACAGTGGAAAAGGCGATGTTGAAAACAGCCATATAGAAACAAAGAGAAAAAAGGAAAGGAAGACTGATTGCGACAGAAAAGATGAAGATATAATTAAAAAAAAACAAAAAAAAAAAAAACAGAAAAGAACAAGAAAGGAATTTTTTAAATCCTGCTAATAAAACTTTATTAAAAATTTTAAAACATCTTTGGAGAGAGGATTATAAAGAAGAAATTAGCATCAAAGAAATCAAACAAAAAATCACATGAACAAAAAAGAAAACATAAAGTAACAATAAATGAATTTAGGAAAAGGAAAATTAAGTAAAATATAAAAAAATAAGAAAAAGAATGAACAAAGAATAATATGGAAAATTCATTCGAAACGAAATTGGCACTGAAGAAAGAAACAATGTAAAAATGGGAAGGCGACAAAAAGAAAGAATTTAGATAGGAACAAAGAATAGGAAAAGATGAAAATAACAAACAGAACGCATTCTGAAAATGTAAGATCTAAGCAAGAAAGGGAAGAACGAAACTTCATTAAGTCAACGAAAGTGCAAAATTATTGGAATTTCGAGCCAAAATAGTTTCTGTGCAAATGACAGGTAATATCAGTACCATAATGGTATTATTAAGAATAATTGAACATTTATTTTCAGAGTCTTCTTGGACAATCCTTGTAACAATTATCATCATCACACACTTTTTCTTATTTTTCATCATCGTCATCATCATCTTACTCTTCTCATTATTATTATTATTATTATTATTATTATTATTATTATTATTATTTCAGGTATTTGCTTGCTCACATTAAATTCTTATCAGTGCATATTGTGAGATCAAATTACCTCAAATGTCCAGCACGTGACTCTTCCTTTCTTTCTTTCTTTCTTTCTTTCTTTCTTTCTTTCTTTTTCATTCTCATAATCTTCTGTAGCCTTTCTTCGTTTAAGTTCTTTCTTCATTACAATAATGATGTTCCGTAATCCTCTGTCCTGACCGTTTTTGTCTTGTTTCTTTGTCTCGTCATAACACCGGTTCCCGTATGATCACTGAAGTTAAGCAACATCATGCCTGGTCAATACTTAGATGACTGACCGCTTGGGAATACGAGATGCTGTATGCTTGGATGTGCGAATGGTGTAATGGATAACGGATTTGGATTGTTAATCGGAGAGCCGGGTTCCAATTCCAGTTGTGTTCGTTATATACACTCTCGTCAAAAATAGCCTCGGAAAATGTATGAACCCGCCTCTCCCCCGCCCCTGCTATCGTGTAGTTAGTAAGACTTATATAACTTAAAGTTTTATTATGTAACAAGATACATTGAGTATAAAATATTTCGATTTTGGCATTAAATAACCCACAGAGATGTTGATATATCGCTCAACAAAACGAACAATATAAACAAAACATTGCTTCGTCGTTTTTGTTTCTGCATGAATTTAAGCGTGCTACTAGGCTGGCATCTCACTGCAACCCTTTCACTGTCGAAACGGTTAAATGTAGCCGACTCTTCTACTCCAACGGACTCGGACAGGAGGAACCCGAAGGAGGCTACGCCGAAGGGCGGAGTCTCCTTCGGGGAGGTAGACCGGCCCTGAACCCGTTTATACGGGTTCAATGGGCATATTTTTGGCAGAGGCTACGGGCTCGGAATGCCCACGTTAAAAAGGCCTTGTGCCACATGACACCCTCGTGGGGGGGGTGACTGAATATCGCCTCTTCTACTCCAAGAGCTTCTTCTCTCGCACTTCCCGTCAGTGGAAATCCCTTTTTGTCACTTGCTTCCCTGATAGTTGTAATTTTCAAATATTCAAATGTAATATCAATCGGCATCTTCTGACACCTTGACCTTGATCCCTGTCCTTGTTTTTTATCCTTTTTTCCCAAACCCCCCTCTCTTCTCTTACTATCACTTTCTATAACCCCTTACGTGCTAGTGGCATTCCCGCCTTGCTTGGGGTGATTTGCTTAAAGCAAAATTCATCCACTGTAATGATTCTTTCGATTTTGCTTCTCACAGATGAAGAAGAGACATAGAACAACAGAAATGTGATTCTAAAGGATGCTGAGAATAATATGTACCAAAAATGTGAGCAACGAAGTAGTTCTAGAGACAATCCAACAAAAAGGACACTTATGCTTAACATCGGAAAGAGACAGCTGAAATTTCTGGGGCACATTATGAGGAAAGAGGGTTTTGAAAATTTGACACTCACAGAACAGTTTAAAAGTAAGAAGGCTATATGGAAGCAAAGCACAACCTAGTTGGCAAGCTTGAGCGTTTGAGAAAGACGACAAAAAAACAAAAATTATTAAGAGTCAAAAAGGACAGAAAATTGTGGAAAGCCATAATCGCCAAAGTCCGAAGAGAGACAGACAAGAAAAAAATCTCAAGATCAAGTGAGTTGTTCTTTCTTGTTAATCATGTCTTTCATTAATCTTATGTTTCTGTGAAGTTTTGAATTATCCAAGCAGGTTTGTTATTTCTGATTGTTGGCCAAGTATTTCTCTTCGCCGATAAAAAAATTAAATATTAATGTTATTACTGAGTGAAAGAACGGCACGCCAAAAAAGGAGGTTTGAGGTTATAGCACTTCACAAATTCTTTTCCTTTTTAACTTTTAAGTAATATTTGTCACATTACTATCTTTTGTGAAGTCAACGAACACTCATTGACACTTTTGTAATGCCAACGAATACTCGTTGTCGCTTTCGTAATGCTCGTTGTAATAGAGACTTTGTTACAACTATAGTACACCATTGAATAATGCTGGCGTCAGACGCCTTCGAATAACACTCGCACTAATAGTATTTGCTTGATAATATTCGCTCGAACAGTAATCGGTATAGTGATCTGAATAGAGTATAGTATAGTAAATAGAGTAGAGAATAGCGGTCTGTATAGTAATAGAGGATAGAGTAGAAATAGCGATCCGAATAGTAATAGAGGATACAATAGAAGTAATGATCGTTAGTGGTCAGCTACTTCCTACATATATGCGTTTCCTCTATGGTCACGTGGTCTACTTAATTCAGTAATGGGATCGCCTGTGTTTGCTCACTGGCGATCTATGTTCAAACTCAAGTGTCGGCATCGACATTTTATTCCTATATAACACTATGAATCCTAATCCATACTAAGCCATACATTTACAAAGCTCGTTAGTTGCGCTACTCATGGTTTCTCTCTGTCTCTCTTGTATACTTTATGTCCTGTGAGATTTAAATTAACTAAACCTTTTCTCAATACGTATCTCGGAAATGTCAACTGTCTCTTAATCCTAATTTCGATTTCATTTTTCTTCCTCATTGCTCACATGTTCCGTCCATGGTATTCCCAGCACCGTTCTGTAACACGCGTTGCCTCAAGTCTTCTCTTCGTCTGTGAGGAAACTGTTCAGCATCGACTCTATGTAAGAGCATTGATATTGCATGAAAGCTGAGCACTCCTATCATTGTTTTCAACCAAAAATATCTTTTTTATTAATATTTGATATTTTTTTGGAAATGATCTTTCTCTATTCCAATACACCTTCGGATTTCTGTGTAACATTTCCTATCGTCTGCCAGGTAAAAATACAAACCTCAATATACGGATCATGGCACCCAATCTAAGGAGAAAATAGGAGGCAAAAGCACGGTTAAGTATTTACTTTCTCCTTTTGCTGGGGCTTCCGTCTTTTTCTTTCATTATGGGCGTTCTCCATCAACTTTTACAACCTCAGGTTATTTGCTCTACCAAGCAACGCAAAGTTCTGAGGAGATAGGATAGTAGGCTTTATTCCGATTTTTGAAATGTAGTGTTCATGGATATAGATCCCTAACTACCTAATGATAAATGGGACAATAATAGCAGTTTCAATCCAGATGTCGGTCTATTTTTTAAACTTGTCTAGTTTCGTTGACCTTCATATTGTCATCACCAGGAATAGCCACGTCGATATAAAGGCACTTACAGATGTATGGTTAGTTGGCCTCAGTGATGCGGTCTGTTTGGATGTTGAAATCTGACAAGATCTTGATTTGGTTGTTTTCCCTCACGTTTCTTATTATTGTTAGAGAGTAGCACGTCAAAATAGTGATTCTGGTGTGTAAATATACAAACCTCAATATATCATTTATAACACCCGGTCTGATAAGATCATACGGGGTACATGCATCACAACCAAATGTGATGGATGTACCCCGTTAGGTTTTACTAAAAATAGCGCAAAATCCTGCAGTGTGGACCAGTTACAAATACCTTCAGGTCAGCTAACACAGTCCATTTAGATGGTCTTCGATTGAGGATATTTCCAAGTAAGTAGATAAGACTCTTAAGTCACCTTTCCCAGGATTCCTTGTATGACGATAAACTACACCCGGAAGCAAAACCTCTGTTCGAGAGGTTTTCGGGGGCGTGGGACCACCCTTAAACTATTTTTTAAGCGTTTCACCCCAAGCAAGGCGGGAAGCCACTAGCACACAAGAGTTGGAGCTAGAGCAAATAGGAGTGATAAAGGAAAGGATGAAGAGAAGGACAGGGGATAGATCAGGGCATCTGGAGACGTCGATTGTTCCCAGGTTCACCCTCACTCGGTGTGGTATCAAAGGTTAAGGTCCCAGCTATGTGCAACTAGTGAACACCAAACAAATATCGACAGTATATTTTTATAATAAAATGTCCAACAATACATGCTTATAGAAAAATGACAATACATGCAACTCAAAAAATCTAACAATACATTTTTATATTAAAATTATCAACAATACATTTTATGTTCTACAAACTATATATTCAAAAACATAATTTTATACTTTCAGGGTAAATGTATGTACAAAATATGGGTAGATGAAAGCTTAAAATTACATACAAAATATTTAGGTTTTCGCATTAAATAACCCATAGAGGTGCTGCTATGTCACTAAATAAAATCAAGCAACTAAACTTGCCCACATCATTCTCCAAACTTAGAAAAGAAGTATCTTGCTGACACACAACCATGATGCCATCTCACTACACTCGCACATGAACAGAACTGCACAGTACATCTGGGAACCTGTTCGTATTGTTAAGGTCAGAAACTGACTGACAAACACAACTTTAGTACTGAAAGTAATATTTACTGTAGACCACCAATAAAACAAAGCATGTTCGCATTAACACCACCAATAAATTAAGATCAGAAGCTACTAGAGCCTTTCTTGGTGTAGCATCGTGGCATTTACCATTATTATTATTATTATCTGATACTTAGGTTTTGCACCGGTTTTAGATAGTAAATCCCTCAAATAGTACCCACTTACCTCAAATGTTCGAATAGATTTTAATAATGTCGTCTGAATAGTTATACTTTTTTTCTCAGATTTCCAATTCTTATAATAAATTTACAAGACTATTTGGTACTTTTCACTTTTTTGTGGCACAGTCTAGGAAATTTCCCCAATTTTTTTTCTAAGAATTACTAGAATGCGAGATAAATCTTTTATTTTTTGTTATTTAGATTGACTTCCATCCTGAATTGCATAGTTCCCGAGAATTTCAAAATCCCATTGAATGTTAATTTTAATTCTTTATAATTAAATTATTGAAGCATTTCTGTGTGAAAATATAATGTAAAATGATTTCAGCGAATATTCGCCAATATTCGCCAAGTTTATTTACAGCAGCAAAAGCAATAAATATCAACAATTTAGCCATCTACATCCGGATCTTCAATCTCTTATTTATTCAATAATAAATAACTCTATATTCCCTGATAGCGATGAAATAGCACTGAATACTATGGATATTTCTAAGTTGGAGGAGAGTGATATCGTAAACCAGCTTCATAATCTCTTATAACAAACCCTTAATTGATTGCAGTGCCAACGTTTACGCAGCTGCTTTGTTATACACAATTTATATGGCAATGTTACCACGGATATTGTATGTGACTACCTCAACATTCTTTGTGTTTCTACCTTAATTAACTAGACTAACCCACATCATCATAACCCGAAATTCTTGTCTGACGAATTTTCAAGATTTAAAAAAATGAGAAAATATGTAAATAAATTGGGTTTCACTATATCTTTCCTAAGATAATTCTAAGCTACTGGTCATAGGCATTAAAACCATGTTACTATTAGGTTGGTG